TTAACTTGGGAATCACTTACAGCAAGCCACGACAACACATGACGTGGCTATATGTGAATCGGCCCAAAAGAATCGAACCCACTTCCAGCCCTTGTGACGCAAAGGTTTGACTTACTAACAAACATACATAACTCGTTAACATCAAGTTTTTTCCAAAAAATCCAATGCTACAACATCAGTTGCACTATGTTGTGCTAGTTGTCTGAGGTGGATGTAACGCATTTGATCTGTGATACGGCTATGCCAATTCGTTGAAGTCAAATAAGCGGTCGCTCAACGGATCAATGAGAAAGTAAACTAGTAGAAGTGATGACCGTTTTCGCGAAAGTATACGGTGGTTTTGCTAGATTTTCATTGGATGCAAATATCGGTGAATTATAAAAACCTCTATAACTTTTGGGGATTCCAGTCAGTGACTGCACTGCTTGGACGGGAATCCGTAAATCATCCGTCATACATTGATTATATGTCTAAAACTTTCAATAGGCTTCTCTCGCCTAAAGAACATCGGCAGCACTGCACTTCTTGCATTATGACTTCTATATTCACCTCCTTCAAGGAAAGAATTTAGTCAAGGACAAATCATCGGGAATCGCAATGGCACTGATTTGCTCTCAAGTAATCTTCCAATGGCAAACTGAAAATTCTTCATCTTGGGTGACGCTATTCAGTGACGAACTCAGTCAGCTGCATAAACGCTTGACACCCAGCAACGTCACAATGAACAGCGCAGTGAAAAGCTTATCGACAAGTTAATCTTTCTTTTTAGCCAGCATTTTCAATATTTCGCAATTACTCTTGCGAGATAATAGCTTAGGACACTTACGGTTGCTGTTTGAGGTGATTTTACCGAAAACGACCGGCAAAAATTATATAGCGCAACAATTGAATAATAAGAAAAAACTTATTTTCCATACAATCAGCGCTGTCAAAACTGACGTCAAAGAAAATTATGTGGGGTAATTTACTTTATCAACAAACAATGTGGCAAATCGTTTGCGTTTTGATGCGAGGAAAACCTACTGACTTCTACAAAATACCGATCTGATCTTTCGTCATTTTCGTAGCAAAAGTTTCGTGGCTAATAGATATACATTGCGATAAGACCACCTTGTTTCGTTCACCAGTACTGATACTCTCACGATGATAGGTACGTGGTATTCATCCACACATAACCTTCACGCCAAATACGCCACTTTATGTGTCTCGTCGATATAGGTGTGACGCTTTTTTTCACATAGTTTTTTCTGTCTATATAATTTCCACGGTTCGTTGACGTCCACACGCAGTACCTGGTACGATAACGATGACTATCCTATAGTACGTACGTGGTCCTATATTTGTACTCGTACCAACCAATCACCCATCCGTCCAGAGTAGGTAAACTGATAGCGTACTTGTCTGGGAGGCCATTAAACACTGATCTGATATGTAACTAGAATCCTGGCAGTTATCCTGTATGACGGATATGCATTGAGTGATCTCTACAATTACGCACATAAAATACCAGCTCTAAATCATTTAATTGTTTCATTACCTTGCAACTGTCTAATATACAGTGTCGACTCAGCTGCCACTTGAGAATTTCTCTCCTTTCAATGAACTGAATGCGCTTGATCATGATATTTGCTGAGATTCTAAGACAGGTATTTTGGATTCACATTTTAGACAACAATTGGCTGCTACTTCTCGAAAGGAGCTGATTTCTTGTTTTGGAACTTGGATTCTTCAAAAGCAGGAAGGAGCTGTTCCTTCAGCAATGACAATTCTGTGATTATTGAGCTGACTAAGCGGCGGAAGACATTTCATACAACGTAGCCTGATGTGAAGCAACTATAAACAACAACTATCTTCATAAAGTCAAACTTGAACGCATAGCCACGGAATCGACAAGCGCGGCCAAGGAACTGTTGAGTCTTGTAGAATATGAAAACCGTTCCAGTGCTGAAGTTGAAATGTGCAAAAATATCTTGATGTCGTCGACAAGAACAACTTGACGGTATTAATCTAAGCAGATCCAAATACAGTAATTTGATACTCTGCGGGAGAAGTACATGCATATGTAAAAACAATTTGGAACACTTCAACAGAGTTTGATAGTCCGATAGCTAAAACTACAGTCTAAAGATGAGTATTTGAAAACAGAATAAAAAGCAAAGAAACCATCTTTACGATCCCAACTAATTTGCTCGAAACAAATTATTACTTGTCGAGTATATTCAATGAATCTCAGCCGCTCATGTTCATAAGATTCCTAAGCTACAAGAAACGAATAGAAGGAGCACTGTACACCAGAACGAGCCTGCATCTTACTATCAAACACTGAAAAAATTCTCTACCCACATAAATAGACTTTTTGAAATCCAAGTAATGCCAACTTTATGAGGCGAGATACGTATGCTTGATATTTGAAAATCGACTAGAAACATTATAATGTGAGAAGTCGACGCAACATGTGGTCCCTTGCTCTCTTACTTTCCAACATAATTTATTCCTTCATAACATTCACGCGATCCATTTTATTATACATCTGTGGTTTTCTGCTGCATTAATGGAGAATGTACACTGCACATCGATTCAGCCAAAGACCTCTGAAATTACGATAAAAGCATATGGGTGGCGGCTGAGATTCGATTCCAACAATTAAGCTGTCCTAAGCCTAATCTTTGGCTCCAGAAATTTACAGGCTACAGAGCTTTACGCAGACGTCCCATAGATCTTGTCAAAAAAAGAGAAATAGGAGTTAAGGCTTTGGGATGAATAGTGGGTATATCTCTCCATGAAGAACTGGGAAAAACAGTGATTTTGCCAGCGTTCGGCGAATTATATGTGCGTGATACTATATGTAATCAGAAGCGTTCATAGATTATTTTAGCCCGCTTAGGTTGAAAGTACGTTGAGAGATCTGCTTGTAGATAAGACTTGTGTTTCACAGAGATAAGCATCATGTCAGGAGAAAAAACATTTAGGCGACAAAGCTAAAGGGAAAAAAATCGCTGATTACAATATGAGCCTTGGAACCTAATGTTTCAATGATCATTACCGCATATTTGCACATGTAAACAATCGCGTTGTCGGGACAAAATCAATAGAGATAAACATTATGCACCTGCTGTTATTTGCTGTTGATGTTTACATGGTCCGTACTCAAGGAAAATCGTGGTCCAGGGGGGTAATTTTCAATAAATACTAGTTATTTTGCTAGTTGACTAAGATGGCAAAGGCCATCATTCTTGGGGATGAGTCCTCTAAGCTGAGCTTTTACATAGAATTGCTGAGCTTGTTCTCACATTTAATGACCTACATTGTTGGGACGGAGAGATAAAATGCTAAAGAAGCCATTATATGCACTGTTACGATAATTCAAATGTGCTGCAAGATATGCTTCTATAATAGCAATCTATCATTTTATTCGAAGCTCGAATAGATTCGCAAGTCTTATTGATTTTATTGATTTTTAATCCCAAATTTCTTTTCAAATTAAGTCTTTAATCTGAATTTTGAGAATTTTCAAATTTTCAAACAAAGATTATAAGCGATGGTAGAGACTGTTTTCGCTTTGATCTCTGCAGGGAATTTCAAAACGACTTCGATTAATCATAGATTGGATCGGATATTTCTATTATGATGAGAAAAAAGTTTGTGACAACACGAACGACGTTCATTATTACAACGTGCGAAAATTCCATCGATAATTGTGTTGTTCGACAAGCCGCAGCAAAGTTAGATTTGAACGTGATTCAGATTCACAATCGTAAAGAAGATGCCTTTGAAAATAAGCAGAACATGTTCTGAGTATGGTTGACTACCCAGCCTTCCTCGTGGCACAGTACGGTGTAAAATCGACCGTATGTTATGATATAAACAAAAGTGGCGATCTCAGTTGAGCATCGAACCCCCAATTACCCTGAACTGGGCTCCACGTGTTATCCATTACACTTCTGAGGCCCTCATTTACTTTTTCTCTCGGCCATATTTTGATCCTGTCGCTAGAAGATGTTTCTGCTGCTGAATATTAGAAAGGCCCGTAGGAGAATTTAATTCCTCTCAGGCCAGACATTTTAAAGGTGATTAGAATTTCCAATGTGTTGTTCTGCTATCGTGAATCACCTCTTGTGAATTTCATTTAACCACTGCTATCGACAGTGATTGCGAATCAGTTGGTACTACACTAATATGAATCACACCACTCTATTTTGAAATTGAAATTGTATTTAAAAAACGAGAGTTACAGTTGAACACGGAAAAAACGTTCATTTATTGAATGTTGCCACCATTATAAATGAATACAGTGTGGTAGATATGAGTGGAGAATCAGAGTGTATTAGTGCCATGTCTAATAAAAAATTTTTCTCACTAATCCAAAATAAAGTAGTCGTTTTCTGCTTATCCAAGATTATCTGCGATTAGACTTATAATTGTAGGGATGAGAGAAAAACAAACAGAAAAAAACCGCGATATTATTCAGTACGGTCGCAAATTTATGTGTATATTTCGAATAAGATCGAATAGGCAAGGGGTTAAGATGGACGATGTCGAGGATGGCAGCAACAGTTGGAGCTCTCTCTCTCTCTCTCCCTCTGCCTGTGGGGTTCTGGACGACGATCGTATACGGATGGAGGTCCAAGAACTCACTAGTGTCTAGCGAAACGCTATTTCGCTGTAGCCGATCTGATTCAGAACAAAAGAAACTACCAGCTGCGTGTTCAGATGGACAGTCAGGACATAAGAAAGCTACCAGATGCGTGTTTAGATGTAAATTTGAAACACAGGAACATAAGAAAGCTACCAGCGAATAACATTTGTGCGCTTAATACGCTCAGTTTGTTAATTCTGATAGAAAAAAGCAGTTTGAGAAAAATATGGAGGACTGACTATAGCTTTCTTCTGTTCGTCACCTACAATGATAGCCACAACATCTTGATAAAATGACGGCTTTTAGTGGTAATATAATGTTACGGATGTATATCCAATAATATTGAGTAATACACAAAGCTCTGAACATCACACGGAATTCGAACCCGCATTTAACCCTTTCGGGGAGTCGCGTGCTAACCATTGCACCACAGACGCTCCTGTTCTGCCATAACTGAATAAATGAATACTGAGATGAGACAAATGAAGCAGTCCGATAGGTGATGGCAATGAGATGATTTTGAGCTTAACACTCGACAGGCGACAGCACCGATAGTCGTCATCGGCGATTTCGAAACCCCCGTTCCCCACTTCGCCTATTTATATTCTCGGCGATGGCAGGTAAACCGGTTGCGGCGGGCTGTCATGTCTAAACACACGAGTGTTTCCTTCCGCTCGCCAACATTGTACGCACTCTTCGCGCGCGACAATGTTTCGTCGTCGTATCGCTCGCGCTCTCCGATTGTCGCGTAGTGCCGCGTAGTGTACGCGCAGCGCGACATCGGCGATTTGTGATCCGAACGCAAAAACTAGAAAATGCCAGCAAAAAAGGTCAAGTTCATGTGTCCATTGGACACCTAGCCGGAATGATGATGATGGGCAATTCGGCGTATGTCACGCAATGATGCAAAATGATATATTACGAATTTAATAGTTAGAAGGTCATATTAGAGGAACACGAAAACACACGCACATACACACACGCACACCTAATCGAAACCTGTTTGTTATTAATTTAGAGAGTGTCTATCCTTCAAAGGAACCAATTCATCAGCAGAATCTAACGAAAATGTTTGCCGTACAATCTATAACGAGTCAATTTTTCCACGTTTTTTCTCTAGCACTGTTTGCTAGAGTTTCTCCAAAGAAATGTGAAATAAAAAACCTTTGATAACGTATTTCTCAGAGTTCTAAAATGCCAATTTCTCGACTCAAGTTAGAATGAGTCAATTTTACGCGTTTTTCACTAGCATTGTTTAGCTCGAAGTGTTTCCAGAGAAGTGTGAAATAAGAAATCTGTGATAATCTATTTCTCAGAGTTCTCTAATGCCAATTTCTAGACTCAAGTTAGTTACGAGAAATCAGAAAAAAGCTGATTGTCTAATGTTTACAGCTAACTAATTTCTTCCCTGTCGAATTCGAAGAATTGTATGAAAGTGCTTATATTACTTAACTACTTTTTGTTTGATTTGTCCAATTTTTTTTTGACTAATCAACTGGATTTATTTGTATATGAGGTTGAGTGATATGCGGAACTTTAGCGTCAGGCGAGCCTCGCACCCGCATTTCACCCTACGAGGCGGTTCGTCCTTTTAACCCGTTACATTGCTGACGCCTATTTTGCAAATATTCTTTTGAACTAATTTGTAATGAAAAATTGCTATTTAATTGCTATATAAATGCAATTGATTGCTCTAAGTAAGTAAGTGACTAGGAGAAAAGCAACTTGATAATATCGAATAAATTAGAAGAGAAAACGCAGGAATTAGGGAGAATTAGCGAACCTTTTTTGTAGCTTGATATATCATGTAGAAAGAGGAATGATGAATTAAGAATGTAGCGATCAAACTGGGCGAATGTCGCTGCCAAACACTAACAACAGCGGTTTTTCACTGGCCATAAGTTTTTGGAAATGCTTCTTTAATTATCATAAAGACCGAAGTAGATAAGGAAGCAGAAAACGAAAATGAATGAAAACAATGAGGTTTTGATTTTTGATACTTTCTAACTTTGTTTCTCATTTCACCCAGATAAATGATTCTACTGGCCATTTCTAGCCTAATTCCTCCTTTACCCTCATAAGCCAATGCTCCCTTCGATTACGTATAAACTTTCACTGAAACAAAGATTTCTCAAAGCAGCTGTATAAACAATGAATCAGAATTGATTTCGAAGAGATGGAAAATCTAAATATTGAGAAATTTGCCCAGCTTGATCGTTTTTTTGATCATCCCGACGGTGTTTATACTTGCCGTTTGTTATGGTTCAGCACCAAAATCTATACAGCCTGATACCACATACACATCTACCATTATGATAATCATACTTCATATATTCGGAATAAATGAAATTGCAGTCCCAGTTGATAATTAAATCGCCGTAGTTTAATAGAGTTCACAGCTATACAATGCCAAATATGAAGGCGTTGTCGAGTGGAATATTCCGTAAGGTAAACGTATTTTGAGCACATATTAAACGCCGAACGGTTTATTTTTTGAACGAAAATATCAACGTAAACGGGCAAACTACATATCGATCCTTAGCTAATACAAAATTAATTTATCTATTCGCATCATAAATGTATAAGATTGTATTTGTATTCTGATACCTGTACTCTGCCCTCAACGCATGCTGCATTTTTCAACGCATGTTGAATTTATAAACGCATGCTGCATTTTTTAACGCAATAACAAAAGTAACGATTTCATCAAAATCAATAATTTCGTTTTGTAACGCGCACAGATTTTCTCGTACTTCATACTGTAAAGTAAAATTCGTAATTTGTTCAACAAGTGTAAAGTGTATGATGTGCGTCTACACAATTATGCACAACACCTGAAACAAGGATCAACATGTAGAGAAGAGGAGAGAAAGAGAACGAGAAATAAATTATCACAGAAAAAGACTACTAGATGTACTTCATCTAGGAAAAGGTTCAGATAAATATACATGACTACTAAAGTATCGAGAATTGTTGCGCACATTTGAGTTTTGAGAGAATAAAAACAATGAATTAAGAACAAATCTAAAGTCGATTTTGTAGTTGTAAAGTATATTCACAGAAATACTGATTAATGCTCTCTTTTTTGTTAATGAAGATAGTACATGACAAAAAACGGTGATATCGACTTACGACTCAAATTCTTTCGTGACTTTTTCATTCGTTGCAATGACAGTGTTAATTTCTGCACAGAAATAAAAGTGAGCAGCGATAAGAACACCGTTTAAAGATAAACAACACAGTTCAAATATAGATTGACTAGTTCCTCTAGAAATAAAAAGAATCAATGAACAATCACTTTTCGTGTCAGACAGGAAGTCAAATTACCATTTTAGGAATGTTGTTATTGTACAGTTGATTATTAATTCACGACAAGGAAAATTTGATCTATTTAACGGCGCTACGTATTCACCGTATGCAAAACAGGAACCGATTTATATATTAATCGGACCTCATCTTCTATGATACTGTGAAACGATGCGTCTAAATGATACAGAAACAGAATTGAAGATTTTCGATTTAAAACTCGGCAGACTGATAATTATATGGTAATGTCACTCCTATGCGAAATCACGCGTAATCGCGCGTGCGCTGTTGATTGCCAAATCAATCAATACACGGAAAACACATGTAATACGGCTGACGGCTTATTTTCCCTGCATGGCTAAAGGCGAATTGAAGTTTAGTGGTTTAACGCGGATTAAAATAGGTTTTTCTGTTTTCTTCTCACTTGCTCTCTTTCTTTTCTACCTCTCTCTTTCTTCTCTCTCTCACCCTCTTTCTCTTTCTCTATTTTCTTCCGCTCTATTTACTTTGTGATGATTTCACCTATCCCTTTGATTGCCACCGTTTAAGATTAACGCAATCGATAAGGGAATTTATTCAACACTGTAAACTGATAACTTGTTCCATTACAATGACAAGAAGAACTCCTGAAACGGAGTGGAAAATGAAAGATAGAAGATTGAAAATATCATATGTATAAAAAATTATCTTAGAGATGTCGGATTATCATAGTGATGACGATTTTATCGTCTCAGCTTCACTTGAGTAGCTGATAATAACATGTGCCTGTCATTTCCAGTGGCTCACCGTACTTATATGCGATATATCAGAGTGGCAGATGCTTATTTTATTCGACATATCAATATTTACTCAGTGCTGAGAGGTTTATAAAAGCTACGATTATAGAACAACCAATATTCTGTGTTAGCTTACTAGATAAATTCAAAAAAAATGTAGGAAAAGCCACACAATAAACATTCACCCGCTAACAATCTACGTAGGATTTCATTTTACGATGCTTACAGTATGAGGAATGTTAGGCGAGTAAATGTTAAGCGTTCGCTGTTCGCATACTGTTGGAGGTAACTCTAACATAACATGCTTGATGCATGGACAGCCCGTCTTTATTGAGGGTGCGGGCCCCAGCACAGGAAAACTTTGCGAGTTTAGCTGTTCTGTTCTCTGAAGTCCAGACGTAAGCCTAATCGGGGCCCCCTCAGGTCGCCACCACGTCAGAGCAGCCGCCGACCCTAGTGGATCATATGGGGATTACCACTTTGCGACTAGTAGCTGTTAAGACGGCGCTCAATCCTAGTATGGCTTACTCTTAGCTGCGCTTTCCGGGTGGAGACGTCGGACTTGTTCTCAGATTAGGTGGCCTGGTGGTGGGCCGAACCCCTTGCTGTACTTCGCAGTACGGCAGCCACGAACACCTCCACGATGAGGAGGTGAACCATTTGGGAGGAACTTCATTACTACAGTAAACTCATCATAATTTTACTATAAGGCTAATGAATTATTCAGAAGTGTTATCGACAAGTTTACTATAACAAGTATTCTGAATGTTGTTGGTACATTTTTGATTTTGTGGCTAGCAGTGAGTTAAAAAATGCAAAATGTAATTTGCAGCGAAATGCGAAAAAAGACCATAATATTGATAACATTCTCGCTTTTAAATGCTACACGATAATAATATGCCGGTACAGTAATCTTATAAGACGATTATTGTTATAGAGTTGGCGACGGTGATTGAGAACTCCACAGTCAATGAATGTTTTACTATTCGCTCAACAGGAATCTAGAAGTGTTGCTGGAATGGGGAGTTCACAACTTAGATGACTGTGTTGTTCGGGGGTTTTATCGTATATTTCTTTACTTAGGCGATAATTCTGAAGACTGTACAGTGTTGTTATTCACTTATATCTTAGAAAATACATTACTGAACAATAGCATTGTGGGTGAATGATCAGTTTCTGGTTACCGCAAATGCTTCTAAAGTAAGTCGTACGAGTAGGATCCTGGTTGATATCTCAACTATACTCTGCAAAAACAGAACTCCTGTAGAAGGACATACACGACACGAGAAGTTAGTCCTTCTCATAAGTTGACAGAGTTCAGTTCGTTGTGGTTTCGCTGTACGAGGCAAATCAAG